TAGGGGCTTGTATTGTGAGTATCCTATTGGGTTCCTCCACATTGCATCGTTTCCCACCACTGACTCCTGGAAAATGATCGGATGTGCCAGAGTGTATGGCCCATGCAGAAGTTACTTGTGTCACAGGTTTGGACCTGCCACCATGGCAGACTTCAAGATGTGACCTCTGCAGTTAGACAGAGCCTCACTCTCAGAAGGTCCCCACATTTGGCTTAATGCTTTGTTGTCACCATCTTGAAATTATTAACCATTTTATCTTTAAACTTATGTTTTGTTAAATGAAGTCTAGTGGCAGAGATCGTATGCATGAACAGAGGAGATAAATCAGGATAGAGGATACATCAGGCAGCAGTCAGATAACAAGCAATTGTCACTTGCACATGCCTCAGAGCAGTCCAGCGAGTCTCTGGGCTCCAAAGCAAAAACGGAGCCCAGGTTGGCGGCAGCCACAGCAGAGAGAGCAGTGTGAAGCAATGGAGAAGCAGTAGTAGTGGTGACAGCAGTTGGAAAGAAAAGGCACTCTATGTAAGGCCAGTGCTGGGCTTTCTATGGAGGTCTAGCTTGCCCATCTGTTCCCCAAATCCCATCTTTGCAATGTTTGCACAAATTTTTGAGAGCTGGAGCAGAACCGCAGCTTTCAAATAATATACTTTGTCAGTAAATCATTACAAAATAAAAACACATATAGATATTGTAATAAAGCACATCAGAAAATTATTAGAATTCTTCAAAAAGTTTAGAGTCTCTGGTTTTAAAAACTTCTGTAACATGACAAATCAAATATCCACAAGCTTAGAAATAAACATTAAATTTAAAGATCATCGCATTTGATGGAAAAGAGTATTATTTTCATGTGAAGCTCCAGATGAATCAATTAATAATGATAAAAACAATTTAATTTTCCCTTGTAATTGAAGATGCAGTGACAGAATGCATAAACAGGCACGTAGAAGCTTGAAGCCCCTTGAGGTTTCTTGTACACCCTTCACAAGTTACAGAAAATGTCAGAGGAAATATTACAATGTAGCTATTACACCAGTTATAATTTTGTAATTGCAAAATTACAATATTTATGATTTACATTTAAAATTAAATTCATATCAAAATAAAACTGATCTGTAGGAAGAATTAAAGTTTGTAGAAAAATTGTTTCACAAGAATCACTAGCTCTACATGTGCTAAAATTTTTATTTTAAAATAATCTGTCAAAAATTTATTCCATTGTTATACAGCCTATCAAATACTCTTAACAGCTCTGGTAACAATTACACTGAAAGAAATATCCTCCTCAAAATTAAATATCATCAAAAATTATTGGCAATAATGCATTTGCCAAGAGCAACTGACATTGCTTTCAAATATATCAACTAAAAATGAAGTTGCTAAAAGTATACATTTTAATAGCCTAAGAAATAGATTTACAGGAAAGCAAGCCAGAAAAAATCATATAATCAATCAAGATATCACACTGATAAGGTATCTTTATTGTATTATATAAATTATAACACCAAAAATATTTTTTGCAGTTTGTAAGATTTTGATGTTACTCATGTATCATGATAAACTCCACTGAATTTTGTAAGTAATATAATATTTTTAAAAGAAGAGGCTTTATTTTTTAGTACTGAATTGCCAGCATCACTACTCTTATGTTTTGGAGTTATTATTAAGTAAAATACAGGTTTCTTGAACACAAGCACTGCGAAACCTCGATAGTGGATCTGATAACCAAAATGGTTACTAAATGACTAATGGGCAGGGAGCATATACAGCATGGACACGCTGGACAAAGGGAAGATTCACGTCCTGTGTTGGGTAGAGGAGAACTGGTACAAGAGTTCATAATGGCATACAATTTAAAACTCATGAAGGGTTTATTTCTGGAATTCTCCATACAATATTTTCTGACCATGGTTGACCACGAGTAATTGAAACTGCAGAAAGTGAAACTGTGGAAAAGAGGGAACTACGTGAGCCGCGACAGAATCTCCAGGTGGAATGGGTTACGTACAGAATACAAAAAGGTCTACCAAGCACTGTGCTTCCTTCTTTGTAGTAAGAAATGCAAGGTGCAGCAACTTGTTTCTTCTCTGGAGGCAATGCCCTGGCACACCTTTGAACCCCTAAAATTGTTAACTGAAGTGCCAAGTCTCTGAATTTTCATAAGGTCTATCTCCCACCATCTGGAGCACATGTGTCATATCAAAGATTTCAGCACATTAGCTGCCTCTTATTCATTCTGCCTGATCAGCATTACATCATCAACGTAATAGATGGATATGTTCTGTAGGATGCCCAGAGAGTCTATATTATGACATATAGTCATAGTAGGTGTTTTAACACCCAGGTCTGTTAATTCCTTCATTTCTGTTATTCATTATGTTCCTATGAACTGATTTTCCTGCTGGTTATTGGTCATATTTTCCTGTTTGGGGGCCTGTGTAGTTATTTTTTTTGTTGGATGTAGGACATTGTGAATTTCATATTGTGAATATTTAGATTTTGTAGTCTTCCTTTAAAGAGTGGGGGCCTTGTTTTGGCAGGTAAGTTATGGTTCTTGCAGATCAGCTTCCTATCTTGAATACTTGTTGTAAACTTTGTTATCATAGGCATACAGTACTTTTCACCCTTTTCTGGGTTCTTCTCAGCTGAATGTCCCTTGTGATTAAGCAATCTTTCCCTCCTGGCTGGTTTTCAAACATCTCCAATTCCTTTGAAAATTACTGTTTTTCCATAGTCATTAATTGTCTTACCTTATGGTGCCTTTACCTTATGCACACACACCTCTAGCGTTCAAAAGGATATTTATGCAGATTTATGGAGCTTTTTATCTACACAGCTTTCTCCGCTTTGGAACTTTGCCCCACAACTTCCAGCTGCCTCAGTTTCCCCTAAACTTAATCTCTGTTCCCTCAACTCAACTTTGTTCTTTATGGAATCCTCTTTCTGACTTCCTGGTTCAGAATGTGCCTCCAGGTAGAAAATTGGAGCAATACTTCCTTCTGCCTAATACTTGTAGTTGTATATATAGCATTTCGAAGTACTTCCACAGTTATTTTGACATTATAGTATAGTGCTTTCACAAGTTTTAAAAGATCTTTTGTGTTGAATAACCCAGCTTAGAGAAAATACACTTTGTTAGGACCCAGAAGGTATAGCCTGTTGTTGAGTTGGGAATAAGTCTTGACAGACAGTTCACCGTGCCACGGATATTTGTTTTCATAGACTTCAGCAGAGGGGCATGATAGAGCTGCTCTAGAGCTACCACAGAAATTTCTGAAGCCCTAGTTTCATGGAATTTTTCCCTAAAGGTTACTTAATAATGTGGTTGGGTGACCATGTTTCAGGGGTTTTGTTTTTGTTCAATGTGCACATCCTTCCACATCTTCTAAGAGGGTTTTCAAAAATTTACCAAGAAACATTAGGCTGTCAGGATATTCCTAAAATTGTTGGTTTGTTGGAAACCACTGTAACAGCTGAAGAAGAATAATCAGGCTTAAGAGTTAAGAGACCTGACTTGAAACTCAGCTCCAAATTTAACAGCTGAGTTGTAGACAAAATCAAAAACGATTAAATATAAGGACCCCCAATTAGTGTTCGTTGTCTTGGGAATTAAAACATAGTAGAGCCCCGACTTTACCCACCAGCTGATCTTACTATCTAGTAAATATATTCCTCTTTCCTCTTAATCGCTTACTTGGCTGAATCTCTCCTCCTTTTCGACTTATCTTCCCTCCATTTTAGTTTTCGCAACACGTACTCAGAAACAGGCCCTGCCGGAACCCAACCCGAGCCTGACAATGACTGAAATATAAGCGCGCGCCCCGCACTCCGCCCGGGTCTTCGCGAATTTCGACCCACTTCCGGATTTCCCTCTCTGCTGCTCCCGCCCGCCCTTCTTTTCGGCCCGCAGCTCCGCCCCGCCGCTGTCACGTGACCACACGGCGTGCTCCGCCCCAGTCCCGGCTCACGTGATCACGCCTGGGGAGAAAACGCCTGACTCTAGACCCCGGCCTTCACCATACGGCCTTTTTCTTCTTGCGGCTTATCAGCCTCTTACCCTTCAGCCACCTGCGGGTCTCTCGACACTGTCCCGGGGTCCTCCCCGGAGCCCTGTCCACCATGCGGCTCCTGCCTCTGGCCCCAGGTGGGCCCCGACGGCGCAGCCCCCACCACTTCCCCTCCTGCAGTCTAGCACTGCTGCTGCTTTCGCTGGGCTGCTGCCTGGAGGTCTCCCGGGTGGCGGCGGGCTCTCGGAGGCCCAATGTGGTGCTGCTCCTCACCGACGACCAGGACGAAGTGCTCGGCGGCATGGTAACTCCTCTCTGTTTCTGCCCCGCCCCTCTATCTCTTGGGCTGACTCCCTGGTTTCTTGCCCTCTTTTCCCATTCCCACCCGACTCCCTGAACTGTCTGCTTTTGCCAAGCCAGGCCCTTTACGAGGTCTGAGGGGCCGCAGGACTCTCTTCTCCTTTCTCCAGCGGCTCTTCTGGATTGAAACGCATACGCGCACCACACAGAGCTACACAGAGCTTCTAGTCTGGACCGTACTGCTGCGGAGTTTGCGTTCATATCTCAAGATAAACAGGTGGACGCCAGTTAGGGGTGGGTTGAACCAATGAGGAGCAGGTGCTGGCTAAGAACACGCAAGCCGCGTTTGGTTTTCTTTAGGATTAGAGGCTCGAAAGACAAGTCAGGCTCCTTCTGTGAGGACCTAGGCCACCTCTGCCTTTGTCCTTGTGTACAGTGTCAGTGCTTGATATGTATAAAATAAGTGCTGAAATGGACTAATCTGGTTGATAGGTTTTCGAACTATTCAGGGTGTGCTTTGCCTCTCAAGAATCAGGAAAGTCCAATTAGCCTAATTGAACACCTGGCTGATGCATTAGATACTGTCAGTGTTACATTTTATATCAAATGGGTGTTGTCACGAGACTTTATTCTTTCCCAGTTCGTTTTGCTTCTGTAAGTTCTCAAGTTTATGACCCTCAGGAACATCTACCCAACTCCCTACTCATGAAGGCCCGGAAAGTGGCTTGCCTAAGGCACATAAATAGTTGAAGCAGTCAGGACGAAATCTTGACTAGTGCTCTGCCCCTTGGATATAGTATTCCTCTTTTTAAGTGCTTAATTGCTTTCTTCATTTCAGTTCTCTTTTTGCTTTCAGCTAAGTGCTGAATTATGGGAACAGGCAAGAGGTTCCTAACTTTTACTGTGTGGTAACACCTTAGCTTAGTGTCCTTCATCCTGCTGATTTCAACCCATTGAGTGAGTTGTGAAGTCAGTTTAGTGAGTAGCTACAAGCATTTTCACTTTCCTATGATATAAAGTAGAATAGAAAGTGTATGGTACATGTGGTAAAGGTAAGCGTATCAATATGTATATATTTCTAGGTTGTGAATTAAAATGTGTTTCTTACTCAGGGCTGTGTTCAGAGTATGAGATTCTTTTCTAGCTAATGTTTAAGATGCTTGCATTTTTGACTCCATACTTCCTGCCACATATGCCTCATTGCCTTTCAGTTTCTACTCAGCCACTTTGACATTGATGTGTCTTGACTTAATTGCCCTTTTGGATTTTATTTTGTTTTTCCACCATTCCAACAGCTAGGCTTATCCTCCTCACAAAACTTGTTTTAATTAATAATAGTTTAATGACTAAAGCATAATTTAAAAATAAAGTTTTCACACGTCTGTTAAAAAAAATTCATCACTTTTTAAGGTGTGTTCAGAATTCTCTTCAGTTCTTGTAGACCACAGATGTGGTCTGTATATATGTATCTGAGGTCTCTTCCCTTTAGCATGTTAATATTTGCTTCTTTAAACCATAGCGGATTCTTTTTAATAAATGTTTATTTATACTGGACAGAAGAACCCAAATTTAGTGGAGAGAAGAAGACAGCTTTCATGTTCCCAACTACCTGGAGAATTCTGGCTTCTCTTGTAGACTTTTCTGGAATATTCTATTACTAGTTGTCAAATGGGACTTGAAGGGGAAGAGCTAAGACAGAAACAGCATTTGAGATCCTACTTGGAGCTAGAGTGTAAGGTGTTTTATACTTGTGCTTCAGTTATCGCAGGAGTCCTTTGCTGTAGGTATTATCCTTATCTCAAATCAGAGGAAATTAGAGTGGGGTAAGTAACTTGACCAAGCTTCGTATAGCTAATGAGGGGCCAAACCTGGTGTCTTGTGATCTCACAGCCCTGTGCTTTCTCCTGTTTGAGAATACTGTGATAATACTGACTTACCAGATGTCATTTCCCATATTCACATCACACAGTTACTTATACCATAGATTACACATTCTTTAGGTGACATTCAAGGGCACCAGGGTGGGTCATGGAACTCTTTAAACATAATTTTCTTTATAATCTTCATTTTTGTGGAGAGAAAGGAGGTCTCTGACCCCCCCAAAAGATTATGAATTGCCACCATAGTTGGCAAAATAGTAATTATTCCCCCAGACTAACTCAGGTGAAAGGATTATAGTACTTGTGTGATTGTGGTTTAATGTGGAATCTTACATCTTTGAAAGTCTTTACGGTTATTAATATAAATTTCTTACTATGCAACCCTGTATCATCCTCTGGCTTCTGCCTAACTCTCTGACATTGTTTTATACCACTCTCTTACAGTGCTGCTTCTGCCACACTGGCCTTCTTTCTGTCTCATGTGCCTCTTTCCTTCTCTGGCAGCCTTTGTACTTGTATTCACTCAGCCAATAAGCATCTTCTCCTGGACCTTTGCATGGCTGACTCATCATGTGACTCTCAGTGCTGAAGTAACCTTCTGAAAGAGGCCATTTCTGACCACCCATCTAAAGTAGTTTCCTCTTTTCCTCCCACCATATGTAAGCACATAATTCTGGTTTATTCCGTTTATAACACTTTTCACTGCCCAAAATGTTTGTTTACCTGAGTCCTCAAAAGTATAAGAATCATCTGGGCAAGGACATTCTGTCATTTGCCTAGATCAGTGCCTGGCACAAATTAAGTGTTTAACTCATGTGTCATGATCACCATATAGTCTTACTATAAATCAGACATTCTTCAGTAGCTTTGCATATTTATTAGTTAGTTTGATGATTAAGTCCCATGTAATCGACTCACATGGTCCTTTTTCCCAGTTACACTTTGTCTTGTTTCCCCTCCCTATGTCCTCACTGTAACTCACATTGATCATCCAACTGATGTTTTATTCAGCCCAGTGTTCTTTACCTGAGGGTAGCACCCAGATCATGGTTGCTGACATTGCTTCTAAAGGTTAGCAAAGACATTATATATCTCTAGCATTTCCTGGGAACCTATTACGGATCTACTCATGCAATTATCAAAGCTCTTCTTGAATAAGAATTCTCATCCTTTTGAGCTTACAAGTTCCTTAGGTTTTTCTACTATCTATATAAAACAATGAGGAAAGTCATTTATACACTACTGAAAGTGAGGCCGTTGTTAACATCATTATATATTTGGATTATTTTTCAGGAATACAACAAAGTACACTTAAAGGTGCATTCAGTATGGTCTTAGATTTCAAAAGTACTTGAGTATCATGAACTGACTCATAATACAACTAAAATAAGCCTCCTAAATAGTTCTTGCTGCGTGGAATCTAAATGAAGATTAGCATTTCTTTGATTTGTATTTGAAGGACCGTCTTCATACTTTTATCGTCGCTATGGGATTTGGTATTAATAGTTCTCTGTACCTGTCTGTGTCTTTGATTTTAAACAAAATATAAAAAGCAAGGATAGAAAAGAAGTAATTTCTTACTAGTCTTTTGCTTGACAGGGTTCTGTATACACACCTATTTACCATCCAGTTCAAGTCCTTACCTGAGGTGATTTATCTAGTGCAGAGGGCTGTGAGCTGTTAGTTGAAAAGTGTGTTTCTGGGCTCCACCACTGAATGTCTGGTATTTGAGTAGGTTTCAGAGCTTCAGGGCGTTGCTGGCTTTCAGAACCTGAGTATTATATTTGTTTTAAAGGTGAAAGACCCTTTTTATATGATTTCCCATATCCTGCTTCTAAAGATGAAATAATAGTTATAGGTCTGCCCTATCTCATAAGGGGGCTGGCGATTAATGAGAAACGGGCACAAAATTTCATTACATTGAAATCAGTGTTGCTAGAATAATGCCATCAGCTGTGAACTTTACCTTCCTGCAAGCATTATAACTTCCTGAACTTTTTGCATAGGAAAGCGCTGACTAGCCAAACCTGTTTGCTTCATCTCCAGAATCACACTCTCTTGGCCATTTCTTAGTGTCAGACAGAGCTGATCGGTTAGGGAAAAAAAGTTGAGATAAGATGCAAAAACCATGAATTTTGGTCCGTGTGTTGTAGTTTATTGGTTTAAAGAAATTGTTTAACAAATGTTTACTTTACAGACACCACTAAAGAAAACCAAGGCGCTCATCGGAGAGATGGGGATGACTTTTTCCAGTGCTGTAAGTTTTGAAGCTAATTTGTCTTTATGTTCTAAGAAGAAACACTCTCTTCGGGGTAGTCTAGTATAATCTGTGTGTTTCTATCTAGTTAAATGCCTGATCTGAAGGAAGGACTTTATTTAATGTGATATAAATTCTTTTAATTAATACTTCTTACCGGTCGAAGATTAACTGCAGGTATTTTCTAAGCCAGTCTGATCTGTAACTCAGAACTAGAGAATTTTGAAACTGAGCTTTCAAAATGAATCCTAAGAACCAAACATTCATGCTATGTAAACTGCTACATGGTAAAAGCTTGCAGGCCACTTTACAAAGCCTAATTAACCCTGATAGCCAAACACGACAAAGGTAATAGGAAAACAAAACCCACAACCACATATGTGTGTATATATGCGTATACATATATATGTATGTAGAAAACAAATAAATGTATATAAACAGATGCAAAGACTCAAAATACTAACAAATTCAAGAACCATATACATACCCAAGTAAGTGGTAGCCTAGCTTAATATCAGAAGATCCATTGAACAGCAGCATAGAATTGTGCTTAAGAGCATCATCCCTGGAGCTCGATTGCCTAGTTTTGAATGCTCTCTGCCTCTTTTCTAGCTGTGTGACCTTGGGCGAGTTATTAACCTTTCTGGCCCTCGGTTTCTACATTTGTAAATGGGGGTACTAAAAGCTATCTCAGGGTTTTTGTGAGGTTAAGTGAATTGATACATGTAAAGCAAGCACTTATATCAGTGCCTGACTTACAGTAAGTACAATCATCCCTTGGTATCTGTGAAGGATTGCTTCCTGCACCACCCTCCACCCGCCAAGATACCAAATCTGTGGATGCTCAAGTCCCTTAAATAAAATGGTATAGTATTTGCATGTATATTGCACACATATTCCTGTATACTTTCAATGGTCCCTTTTTGGCACCTGCAACTGGTGCTTTTATGAGAATCTAATGCCTGATGATCTGAGGTGGAGCCGAGGCAGTGATGATAGCTCTGGGGAGTGGCTGCAAATACAGATGAAGCTTTGCTCATTTGCCTGCCACTCACCTCCTGCTGTGTGGCCTGGTTCCTAACAGGCTGTAGACTAGTACTGGTCCGCAGCCCAGAGGTTGGAGACCCGTGCTTTAAATCATCTCTAGATCACTTATAACACCTAATACAATGTAAATGTTATATAAATAGTTGTTATACTGTATTGTTTAGGAAATAATGACAAGAAAAAAGTCTGTACATGTTCCATACAGACGTACCCATATCATAAACCTAACTACATATAGTTCACATCAACAACATAACTTTTTTTCCCAACTATGAATATTTTCAGTTGGTTGGTTGGTCGAATCTGCGGATACAGAACCCACAAATACTACATAATGGTGATTATTATATTGTCTACCAACATGGTATTAATAGTTGAAAGAAGGATAATTATATGTTCTTCTCAATAGATGCTTGAAAGTCCTCTGAAGTTTTAGCATCTTTTCCTGGTAATTTATTAAACTATTGGAAGAATACATCCTTATGATGAATACCTCAGACAAATAGCACACCTTATAGTTAAGGTGAAAGACTCATGTCACTACTGTTAGGGAGAAGACAAGTGCAGAATACCTCCCAATTAATGTTGTTCTGAACTGTCTAGTTGTTGGCATACGTCTCATGGAATTAAGAGGTAGAACTTATGGGAAAAGACAAATATTTCCACTTATTTGGATTTTCTGCCTAGAAAATAGAATTGTTGGAAAACTTAATAGCATTTAGTAAGGTAGAAATGAAAAAAATTAAAATTTTCTTCCATAAAACCAGTTAGAGAAATATAGCGGGAGAAAAGTTCCCATTCATATAGCAGGAAGAATGTAGACTCTAGGAATAGCTGGTGGTGGCTAGTAATGGTTATTTAAGATCTATGTAAATAAAAGTTACAGAACTCTGTGACTGATATAATATGCTCTACTGGATACTATACTATAGTATGCAGATATAGGAAACAGTATGATATTGGCCTAAAAATAGGTCAGGAGACAAAAGGAAAGAATTAAAAGAGTTGCCAATGTAAAAATTACAAAAGTCAAACATCTAACGAAATTAAAGGGCAAAAGTAAAAAATGGGAAGTATCTGTAACACTACTGAATCCTTAAATTTTATGTAAGAGGCCAACAGCTCAGGAGGAAAAAATGTACAAAGCACATGAACAAACCATTCACATAAATGATTGGTCAGTACGTGTGTGGAGAATGTTCATCCTCACCAGTATTTTAAAATGTCAAATGCAATTTGGAAGACCAAATAAATGCTAAGTATTTAAAAGGGATAATATGTAATTTTGGCAAGGGTGTGTTCAAATGAGCATTCCTACTCGGCTGGTGCAAGTATAAGCTAGTATTACCATCTGTAAAGTGGCTTGGTGATGTATATTAAAAATTATACAAATATTATTGGGTATAATGGGTTAATATATTGATGACAGTAGCTAATAGAAACATAGCATAGAAAAAAAAATCCATATCCCATGTATAAGGTAATACAGGAAATGTGTAAAGCTATAGATCAACCTGAAAATTACCCTCTACTTCTTAGAGACATTACATTCAAGTAGTATCCTTTATCTTTAGTTAAGACCTGGCTCCCACCACACTGTGCTCCTTGCATGTAACTATTTCTTAGGCAGCTGAGATTAGAATAATTTATATTATCCTTCAGAAAGAAACCATCTGCAAAAGAAATCTATTCTCTTGGTTTGCTTTATCTCTAGTTTGTAACTTAAAGCAGCTCAGAAGTGTGTTATGTATAAAGAAAATCTCTATTCGATGGGAAACTGGAAATTTGAAATTAAAGTATTGAGCAGCTTTCTTTATTTTCTTTAGAAATGATGAGAAATCCATCTTTCTTGTGTAACTTTGTTCTTTTTGCTTCTGTTTCCTTTGTAGTATGTGCCAAGTGCTCTTTGCTGCCCAAGCCGAGCCAGTATCTTGACAGGGAAGTACCCACATAATCATCACGTTGTTAACAACACTTTAGAGGGGAACTGCAGTAGTAGGTCTTGGCAGAAGATTCAGGAACCGAATACTTTCCCAGCAATTCTCAGATCAATGTGTGGTTATCAGACCTTTTTTGCAGGGAAATACTTAAATGAGGTATGTTGAATGATCTAATCCTTTTTTTAAAAAAAGTAACAGCTGAATTAATGTAATTCATGTTAATTGTTTTTTAGTTAGCATCCATTCAAATTATGTTAAAGGGGTTTTGGTTTATGTTGTTTTCTCCTAATCTGCCTGTTAAATAAGAACTTACCTACATGAACATATTTACATGACTTGGTTACTACAGTTATTCCTTTAAGTAGTTTCAGGAGCATTTATTTGAAATTATCCCAGGACTGCTGCCGTCTGATGCATCTTCCTCTTTTTCCTCAAGAATTCTGCTTGTCATGTGGCTGTCATGGTATCTTTGTTTCCATTTCCTCTTTATTAGGATCAGAGTGAATTATTTTTTCCTCTTAGTATCTTCTCTGAATTAGAACAACTTATGCTTAACCCATTCTCCAACCTGAAAAGTGGGAATAAAATGTGGAGAAATCAATGATGAAGAGCACCAAGAGCCTGAGATCTTCGGGACATTAAAATATACGGCCGAGTAGTTGGTTTGATGACCTTGTGGACATGGACGAGGAGATACTTCATTGTGACCTGCCAGTGCCGGATTTCATGGCCTCATATCCACCACAGTTGGCCTTGGCTTTTAGAGTTCAAGCTTAAAAGAAATAGCAGATTTGAGAATGTTTGGGGTTATCCCTTATAGTAAAAGTAGGGATGCAGGACAAAGAAGATGTACATTTTCTTATATGCTTTAGATCTGTGGTTGCTAGAGATTTTAATATCTGATCTGACATTTCTTTTACTTCTCCCCCTCCCCACAGTAATTAGATGGGTTTAAAGGAAGATGAGCCAATTTGAAAAGAATCGTGAGAAATAATTAAGGATACTAGGTTATTGGGTTAAGGCTGTGGGTCATAAAAAGAACCTGTACTACTTTATATATGAAAGATCATCTATCCTATATACAAAATAAAGAGAAATTTTTTCAAATAACAAAGATTTAGTTCTCAGGTATTAAATTCTGCCTTTCACGTGCAGTATTAAACCTTGTCACAATACAGTGGGATGATTCTATGGTTTCTTCACTTATTCATCTTATCAAATAAATTGAGTCCCAAAATAAATTTCATCAGCAGGACAACTGAAGTTTTAGGCTGAAAGTTCATAGTTGGATTAGTTTCGCTGTTAGCCACAGGTCATGCTCTCAGTAGTTCAGCAAATGAGCCCTGTGGACTTTTTCTATATAGGGCTAGAAGTAAATAGTTTAGGCTTTCCAGGACAATATATCTCTCTTGTTGCTATTCAGCTGTGCCATTGTGGCCTGAAAGCAGCCATAGACATGTAAACTAATGAATGAGGCTATGTTCCAATAAAACTGTATCATCACTGCAATTTCAATTTCACGTTATCTGTTGCATTTCACAAAATGGTCCTCTTTTGATTTGTGTTTACATTTTTAAATGGCTGGAAAAAAAATTCTTAGCTTGCTGGCCATACAGAACAGTAGGCAGGCTAGATTTGGCCCATTGACCATAGTTTGCTAACTGTTGCTTCAGAGGTTTCTAAGAGTATAGTTTTCTTTACTTTTAGCTGGTTTATATGTTTGGGGAAAGTGAGCGCTTAACTATGTTTCAGGGACTGATGTAAAAAGATTCCAAAAGTTTCCTGTTTCTTTGTGCTCTGGTCATATCTAAGGACTTTTAATGCCCTGCTTCTCTTGTTTTTCAGTATGGAGCTCCAGATGCAGGTGGACTAGAACATGTTCCTCTGGGATGGAGTTATTGGTATGCTTTGGTGAGTGATTATTGAAGTGAGTGACAATTACATACAGTCCTACCGATGCAAAATATGTTTACTTTCTGATTTAGCTCTGACGTTGAAATAACTTGTCCACTTTTGTGATTGGCTATTTTATCTCCTTAAAGGAAAGTCTTTTGACTTGTGAGTCACTTTTTTGTGGGATACTTTTCTTGCATTACAGAAGGTTTAGCAACATTTTGCTGTTCTACTTGATCCACTCCTGGTTTGTTTGTTTTTTAAGTAGGATATATTATTGAAACTATGTTAGAGGTTAATAAATGCTAGTTGAAAAATACAATGTTGACCTGAGTAATTATCTTTTTTACAATGTCTTATCACTCTTTAAACAGAGTATAGTTTAGCCCAGCATGGTTTCTGACTTTCATTTTGTGTACTGACCTCATAACAAATTTTATTTTTGTCTGTTTAATAGGAAAAGAACTCTAAATACTATAATTATACCCTCTCTATCAATGGGAAGGCACGGAAGCATGGTGAAAACTACAGCGTGGACTACCTGACAGATGTTTTGGTGAGTTACTGAAGCTCTGTCCTTGCAGATTTGGCTCACACTTGATTGAAGACTCTGTCTAGAAAACCTGTAGTTGTATTTATCCATCTTGGACAATGTGAATGAATAATAACTTGATCTAACTGCCAAAGAATATTTCCAACTGATTAAAAACTCCTAAGGGTATTTTTCTTTGTATATAAGCCAGGCTCAGATCTAATGTTCTTGAAATCCCAGCAACAAATCCCGTTTCCCAAAGCTAATCTCTAAGACTATAGAGATTACTTCAGAGAGGTTTTACTTTGTAAGGATTTCTACTCTTCACTCCAGTTTTACTCATAAGCTACAAGATAGCGGCTTCATCATAAGGGTTGGGGGATAGGGAGATGGGAGTTCTTTAGGCATTGTGTATTTATATATTAATAAAAAATACTGAAGTTGGGTGAATTTGGGACTTCCCTTTCCTGTCTAAGGTGTTTCTAATGATAACTCCTTAAAGCATTCATTCACCAAATATTTCAGCACTTATTATTCAGCAGGTATTCAGCAGTAAATGAAGCAAAGTCTTTGATTCTGTGGAAAGTAACTTTTTAGTGGCTGATTTTATTTACACGTATGTGTATGTACATACACATTCATTGTTGTTTTGTTAGATGCTGATCAGTTAGAGAAATGATACAGGCTATGGGGATTACTTAGGTAATATTTAAACAAAATCGTGAGGGAAAGGAGAGTGAACTGTAATTTTTTTGAGTGCCACAGACAGGGAATGAAAAATGTGAGGGCACTGAGGCAGCAGTGTGCCTGGCATGTTGGAGAAACCACAGATTTCTGACAAGGCTAGAGTAAATTGGTAGGCAGAGTGACGATAGGCAATTAATACAGTCAGTATCTTTCAAGTTTAGTATTGGGAATAAATGAGGCTATAAGTCAGCTAGAACAGAGCTTGCTTTGGCAACACATATACTAAATCAACTAGAACAATTCGCATGTGTGGGATGCTTTCATTTTCATAAAGTATCTCCAGATAGCAAATGTAGAATATACGTCCATATAAATTAAAGCCCTGGTGTGATTTACTTGGATTTAATATTACTGATTTAGCTTAGCTACTTTAGCTGACCTAACTCATGATATCAACTCTACACATTTTTGTAAGAATAAGGTAATATACCTTTTTCTGTTGTGAATTAGATTGACTATATTCTTTAAGGTATCAAATGTATATACTCTAAGCTGCATTAATGTAAGTTAATACTAAAATGGCCAAATTACTATTTCTTTTGGGAAATAACACTTTATTTTTAGATCATGTAAAATCATCAAGATTTTAATTGCTTTTTTAGGATGGTGTGCTTTTCAGTTTTTATAAGTATTGCCTAAAAGCCAAATATTTGTTCCAACAATATGCTTGCAAATGACCATGACATAGATTATATGCTAAGATTGGTTAAAGGCTAATAGGACCTTGTACCTTCTGTTCACCAGAGAACATGTATCTATCAAGTCCTCAACTAGTGGATAGGGTAGGAGATGACAAATCTTTGTATATGTCAGGCTAATGTCTCCTTGGACTTCCTGGATTACAAGTCCAACTCTGAACCGTTCTTCATGATGATCTCCACTCCAGCGCCTCATTCACCTTGGACAGCCGCACCTCAGTACCAGAAGACCTTCCAGAATGTCTTTGCACCAAGAAACAAGAATTTCAACATTCATGGAACGGTAGCTTCCCTTAATCCTTGAATTAAGCTATACTCAATATAGTTCATTGTATACTAGTCAGGGAGCCTTTGAGCTTGTAGTTGGTTTTCCTTCCAGATCTTTTAAAGCTAATTACACCTGTCTATAGTACAATAGATAGTATAAACTTGCTTCAGAAGTACAGATAAGATTCCTGCCACATATCCAGTGAGCAACTGGAGAGTCCACAGGGAACGTTAAAGAAATGCCATCTTTCTTGACTACAGGCTCTCCTGATAACCTCTGTGCTGGCTCTTCTCTGTCTGGCAGTGGCTAAGACATGTCCTTTGGGGCCAAGTTGGGCCTGCAGCAGCCTACTCTGGGTGGCCCTCACCAGGCCTGAGGCATAGGAAAAAAAGGGGTGACACAGTGCAATATTGTTGGGAAAGGAAGTTGAATGGTGAGATAGATAAGGTAACATAAGAGCTACAACCTATATATTTGTCTCATATGCCAGTTACTTATCCTTCCCTTGGCACAGGGCATTGGCACTGGTTCAAATGCAGGAGGCCTCTACTACTTCATACCTCTTACTCAGAAATCTTAATTGCTTATGAGTTGGTGGAAAGAATGAGTCTTGGAGCTAGTCTCAGCACTACTACTTTCTGACTAAATGACCTAACCATGAGGAAGATGCTAACTTATTTTTCTATCTAAAGTGGGAGATCCTAATCCTCAAGGTGACTGCTATATGGATTAAAGTACATAGAAACATCTAGCATATTGCCTGGAATATTGTAAGCATGCACTTATTAAGTATGATTTTTAAAGCTGAGTGAACTGAGTTTTAAACTAGAAGGCCATCTCAAATTGTGTTCCAGAAGAAATTGATAGAAGTTCTCAGGACCAAGTAAGTTTATAAACTTTAGGTTAAATAAGTCACTCTGCTATAGGATATTTCAGTTATTCAGATTCCAACATGAATTTTCAACAGGAGAATATGCTATAACAGCATTTCTCAAGCATATTAACTAAAGAACACTTTGAGGGTCATAGTTTGGGAGATAGTAGCTTAGGATTTTAAGAACAGGAAGGAAGAAGAGAATAGTGTATGAGAATGTTTTTGTTTTATTAAAAATTTGATTTTTTAATTTAAATGAGAAGAACCCTCCAGATTTAGACTTGAAGTTTTAGTGACAAGATTTTCCCCAAGGTTTGGGATGATGGCTATCTTGGGTAAGAAAATAGAAAGCAATAAAATGTGGACTTATTAGGCAAAACTTAGAGGAAAATAAAGTTAATATTTATCCTTTTGGAGTTTGGGTAGTAGACCCAAAGCAGAGACTCAGTTAAAAATTTAATCTCCTTTGAGCCAGTAGTTTCTCCTTATCTTTCACTAAATCTCTTATTAATGCTTATCAATTCTGTTGACAAAGGAAAAATCTAAGGATTGAGTGATAATCTACAGAAAATATTTTTGGCAACACGGGAGGGAAATGAGGAAGAAAGTCTAAAATAGTTTGAACAGGTTCCAGTTAGTTTTTCCTAAAGTGTAAAATCCTTTTAATTATCTACTCTAGTAGATTATTTGACTGGATGACTCAGTGTTAACATTTTTTTTCTTTGAAATTTTAGAACAAGCACTGGTTAATTAGGCAAGCCAAGACCCCAATGACTAATTCTTCAATACAGTTTTTAGATAATGCATTTAGGAAAAGGTAAGAGCCGCTATAGTCTCTCTTTTTTTTTTTTTTTCTTTTTTAGGCCAGGCAACCCTTGGTTGACCTCACAGATTGCAAGGAACTTGTCGTCTTAAGATCCCTTTTTTTTTTATTTTTTACTCCTACAGTACCTGGTCTTCCTAGGTGATCTCCCATCCAAGTACTAACCAGGCCCAACCCTGCTTAGCTTCAGCGATCAGACGGGATCGGGTTTGTTCAGGGTGTCATGGCCATAGACAAGCTGCTATATTCTCAATCTGGGTGGTCTTTGAGGACCCTCCAAATCAGCCTATGAACGGGACTGTACCACATGGTTATCCTTGAGACAAAATCACATTGACGGAGGAGACTCTTTCATAGGGGATCTACTGCCTCAGAAGCAGAGATTCCTTAACATTCAGGTGTATGAGGTGGCCTTTGGACCCCACAACTAATTAAATAATCCATTTTTTTGCTTCATTAAAACATATTGCAAACTGGAGCCATTTGATTAAGAAAAAAGTTTTCTCCATTTAAAGAAAAAGTAGCTTTGTTAGAGATCAGTCCCCTCAATATTTGCATAAGACCCAAAGGCTTAGACCAGAGCAAAATATTTACCTTTGCTGTTTGGAATTTTCAGGACATTCTTTTAAGTCATTTTTTAAAAATCCATTACTTTCTCTTAAAGGTGTATATTTTAGACCAGGGGTTGGCAAGCTTTTTCTGTAAAAGGCCAGATAGTAAATAATTATAGACTTGCAGATCATTTCTCTGTTGCAGCTGTTTGGCTCTGCTATAGGAGAACAAAAGCAGCTCTAGGTAATATGTGAGTGAATGAGCATGGCAGTGTTCCAATAAAACTTTGTGTGTATAAAAACTGAGTTGTCATTTAATATGGTATGAAGTTTCAGATTTGCAGAAGTTTTGGAAACCTGTTTCACTATGTGAATATATTTAATGGTACTGACCTGTACACTTAAAAATTGCTAAGATGATAAATTTTTTGTTTTTTACCACAATTTAAAAACTGAAAAAATGGGTAATGGGCAGGCTTTGGCCCCTAGCTGTAGTTTGCCAACCCCTAGGTTAGACCAGTAAACACTGTTGTGGTACAGGTCTATCTGAATTAATCTGTATTACTCAGTACTGAATTGACAACTTTCCCTGCCAGTTGTCTCTACTCTCATCACCAGTGGTAGTAATAAAGCTAACTGGTAATAAAAAGCCTTAGTTATTTCTTTGGAAACAGTTAAAGTTGGAATGAACTAACTATATTCTGAATTTTTCTAATCTGTGTTTTTGCAATGAGGGCGTCTGAGAAAAGGAAATATTTGGGATTTGAGTGTTTGGGGAGAATGCTTTAGAGGTTTTGCGGGTGTCCTTCAGCCACGTTTCTGAGGTCCTATTGCTGTCCACATCCAGGTGGCAAACTCTACTCTCAGTTGATGACCTTGTGGAGAAATTGGTCAAGAGGTTGGAGTTCAATGGGGAGCTCAACAACACTTACATCTTTTATACCTCGGACAATGGCTATCACACAGGTAAGGGGCATGGTTAGGTACTCCTGTGACCTTTGCAAGGTGTCTTTTTTTTTTTTTCCACCCAACCAGTAGCAATGGCAGGAGCTCTAGACCTTTTATAGCAGTGGAGAGGCCAGAGGGAGGGTCTTCCCTTCAGGACCCCTCTGGTTAAGGGCCAGCTCATTCCCACATGGAGAGACCATGTTTCATTATTTGCTACATTATATGCTAAATTACATGATATTCTAGGAGTCAGGAGCAGAGTAGGCTTGATGGGTTGGAGGCAGGATTTAAGGAGGCGGTAAACTGAATTAGATTTCAAGGACAAGTAGATCTTAGAGAATAGAGGTAAGATACTTTCCACAGGAAAACCAAGAGAAGGTTGTCTTGTGGGGAAAACTCTTATGAAATTGTGAAATTAGTTATTTTGATTTGTGTGTGTGTGTGTGTGTGTGTGTGTATGTGTATGTATATGTATATGTATGAGTGGTTTTTGTTTTGTTTTTCTTTTCCAAACTGCAGTATAAGTCAGCCCAATGCCCTTGACTTTCATCCTTTCTACTTGGACCTTCTGTGTAATTAAAAAGCAATGTCGTCTTCTTTCCCCATCTATAAATTTCATAAACTTGAATTAACCTGAGGCTTGCTTATTACATAGGAGCAGATTGACTGGGCATTTAATGTAGTATTGTGAATATTTTTAAGCACCCAAAGAGTGTGCTTAAAATACTAGAGACTAGTAAAATAACCTCCATGTGGCCAATCTTTTCAATTCTCTCTACCCTTCCGTTTCTTTTTAGTGAAGTTTTGAAGAAACCCCATACATTGTGATTCCACACATCAACACTTGATTTTGCATCTGACTAGTGTATTGTGTATGAGGATCTAGAAAAAGTCCACGTTACCTTTAGGTTTTACAGGTCCTAAAGTGTCATTTGCCACTGATTTATTGGAAAAACTGGTCTTTTGTCCTGTAGAATATCTCACATTCTGGATTTGGCTAATTGATGTCTTGTGGTGTTCTTACTTGTTTATATCTGGCATTTTCTAGAGATTGGTAGTTAGATCTAGAGTCTTAACAGAAATTTACATTTTCAGCAAGAATGCTTTGTTGGTGATGCTGCTGTGTACTTCCTATTGCATCACTTCGTGATGCCTGTGGTATCTGGTTGCCTTACTTTAGGGATATTAATATTGATTGATGGCTCTTGTGGTATCAGCCTGAGCCTGTCCTGTGAACTTTTTGTGGCTAAAGCTTCTGTTGATGATTGTTGCTTAAATCCATCATTCCCTCAAATTGCAAAATGTTGACTTCGTTAACTCTGTCCTTTTGCATTTATTAGCTGGAATTCCTCAGGGAAGAACTTTCTCTCATCAGCTGTTTGGTTATCTTAACATGCAGTTTATTCAGGAAAGGCCAGATAAATGTTTTTGTCTCTTTATTTAGCAGTTTTTAGAATAAACTCATTAAATTATGATCAGGTCGAGTATCATACATAAATTATCTTTGTGTTTCAGTACTTTCCAGTCTTTCTTTTTGCTTAATTTTTGCTATATTAGACCAGGGAATCCACCTAGGCATTTATTTAAAGAAGACGAACTAATTGTTCATCCTGCCTTATAGTAATAAGATGCTCAGGCAAATTTAAGCTTCCTATTAAAACACCATAATTTAGTAGAACAAAGTTGTTTTGATTATTAAATGAACAAATGAATGAGTGATACTTCTATCTTGGCTCCTTCGTTACCCTATGTGTTTTGTTTTCAGGACAGTTTTCTTTGCCAATAGACAAAAGGCAGCTATATGAGTTTGATATCAAAGTTCCACTGTTGGTTCGAGGACCTGGGATCAAACTAAATCAGACAAGCAAGGTAGGTGCCTGACAAATGATTCTGTTTATAGGTAGCACTTGCTTGAGAAAAGAAAGCTAGTTCCTCCAGAAAGGAGGCCGCTTAGATTTCTCTTCCTATGAAGGAAAAAAGGTGATTGGCTTAAATCTTTTAAGTGTATTTTATTAATAAGTCTTGGAAACAGTGACTTTTTCTAAACTCCTGCCCCCGCCATTAACTGTATCCCGCTTCATATATATATATATATACACATATATACACACATATATGTATATATATATATGTGCGTGTGCATATATATATATATATATATATTTTAACACGAATAGCTTTTGTCTTTTTATTTATTTTAAATTATAGTTACATACAATATATATTAGTTTCAGGTGTACAACATAGTGATTAGACATTCATATATCTTACAGAGTGATCACAATAAGCCTAGTATCCTTTGGGCACCATACGTAGTTTTTATAGTATTGGCTATATTCCCTAGACTGTATTTTACATCTCTGTGACTAACTTTATAACTGGCAGTTTGTATTTCTGAATCCCCTTTACCTTTTTTGCTCCTCCCTTCATCACTATTCTATCTGGCAACCGCTAGTTTGTTCTCCATATCTATGAGTTTGTTTTTGCTTTGATTTTTTGTTTAATTCGTTTTTTAGATTCTACATATAATGAACCATACATTATTTGTCTGACTTACTTCACTTAGCATAATACCCTCTAGGTCCATCCATGTTGTTGCAGATGGCCAGATTTCATTCTTTTTACGGCTGAATAATATTCCACTGTATATACATACGTACCTTCTTTAGTCATCTGTTGATGAGCACCTAAGTTGCTTCTATATCATGGCTATGGTAAATAATGCTGCAATGAACATAAAGGTGCATATATCTTTTCGAGTTAGTGTTTTGGATTTTTTTCAGATAAATACCCACAGGTGGTATTGCTAGGTTATATAGTGGTTCTACTTTTAATTTTTTTGAGGAACCTCCATACTGTTTTCCATTATGGCTGCACCAGTTTCCCATCTTACCAGCAGTTCATGAGGGTTCCCTTTTCTCCACATCCTCATCAATACTTGCTGTTTGTTGATTTACTGATAATAGCCATTCTGACAGGTGTGAGGCGATATCTCATTGTGGTTTTGATTTGCATTTCCCTTATGATTCGTTATGTTGAGCATCTTTATTGTGCCTGTTTGCCATCTATATGTCCTCTTTGGAGACATGTCTACTCAGGTGCTCTGCCCATTTTTAAATTGGATTGTTTGAATTTTTTTGATGTTGAGTTGTATGAGTTCTTTATATATTTTGGATATTAACCTCTTATTGGATTTATTATTTGCAAATATTTTTTCCTATTCAGTTGGTTGCCTTTTTGGTTAATGGTTTCCTTTGCTGTGCAAAAAAAGATTTTTAGTTTGATATAGTCTCATTTGTTCTTTTTTTTGCTTTTGTTATCATTGCCCTAGGACATATATCCAAAAAGATATTGCTAAAACTAACACCAAATAGTTTATTGCCTATATTCTCTTAGGAGTTTTATGGTTTTAGGTCTTACGTATAAGACTTTAATCCATTTTGAGTTTATTTTTGTATATGGTGTAAGGAAATGATCTAGTTTAAATTTTTTTTGTATGTATGTGTTCATTTTTCCCAGCATCATTTACTGAAGAGACTGTCCTTACCTCATTGTATATTCTTGCCTCCATTGTCATACACTAATTGACAATATAAGTGTGGATTTGTTTCTGGGCCCTCTATTCTGTTCCATTAATAGATATGTCTGTTGTTGTGCCAGTACTATACTACTTTGATTACAGTAGCCTTGTAGTATAGTTTGATATCAGGTGGCATAATACCTCTAATTTTGTTCTTTCTCAAGATTGCTTTGGCTCTTTGGAGTCTTTTGTGGTTCCATATAAATTTTAGGGTTTGTTCTAGTTCGGTGAAAATTGCCCCTGATATTTTGATAGGGATTACATTGAATCTGTAGATCGATTTGGATAATATGGACATTTTAATGATATTCTTTCAGTCCACTACAACAGTCTGTCCTTCCATTTATTTGTGTCATCTTTATTTTTTTTTCATTGGTGTCTTACAGTTTTCAAAGTACAAATTTTCTACTTCTGTCATTGAATTTATTCCTAGGTATTTTATTCTTTTTGATACAATTGTAAATGGGATTGTTTTCTTAATTTCTTTGTAATAGTTCATTATTAGTGTGTAAAGCAAAACATTTCTGAATATTAATTAGTGTCTTGCAACTTTACTGAATTCATTTATTCTAACAGTTTTTTGATGGAATCTTTCAGGTTTTCTATATATAATAGCATGTCATCATCAAATAGTGATAGTTTTACTTCTTTCTTTCCAATTTGAGTGCTTTTTATTTCTTGTCTAATTGCTGTGGCTAGGATTTCCAATACTACGTTAAAAAAGGAAAAAAGTGAGAGTGGGTATCTTTATCTTGTTTATGATCTTAGAGGAAAAGCTTTTCAGCTTCTCATCATTGAGTATGATCTTAGCTCTGGATTTGTCATATATGGCCTTTATTATATTGAGGTATATTTCCTTTAGTCCCACCATGCTGAGAGTTTTTAACATAAATAGGTGTTGGATTTTGTCAAATGCTTTTTCTGCATCTGTTGATAAGATTATATGATTTTTATCTTTCATGTTATTTATGTGGTGTCATGTTGATTGATTTGAGGATATTGACCTGACCTTACATCTTGGCAATAAATACCACTTGATTATGGTTTATAATCTTTTTAATGTATTGCTGAATTTGGTTTACTAATATTTTGAGGATTTTTGCATCAGTGTTCATCAGGGACATTGGCCTGTAGTTTTACTTTTTTGTGGTGTCTTTGTCTCATTTTGGTATCAGGGTAATGCTGGCTTTCTGGAATGATTTTGGGAGCCTTCACTCCTCTTCACTATTTTGGAGTAGTTTGAGAAGGGTAGGTATTAATCCTTTGCTTGGTAGAATTCACCTATGAAGCCATCTGGTCCAGAGCTTTTGTTTTTTGGGAGTCTTTTGATTATTGATTTTATTTTATTAGGAGTTATCTGTTCAGATTTTCTGGTTTCTTCCTAATTTAGTCTTGGAAGATTGTATGTTTCTAGGAATTTATCTATTTCTTCCAGGTTGTCCAATTTATTGGCATAAGATTGTGGTATTTTCTTATAATCCTTTTTATTTCTGTGGTGTTACTTGTCACTTCTCATTCATTTCTGATATTTATTTGGGCTTTCTTGATGAGTCTGGCTAAAGATTTATCAATGTTTATCTTTTAAAAGAACTAGCTCTTAGTTTCATTGATCTTTTTTTTTTTTTTTTTTAAATCTCTATTTCATTTACACTCTGATCCTTATTTCCTTCCTTCTCACTTTGGGCTTTGTTTATTCTTTCCTAATTTCTTTAGGGATAAGGTTAGATTGTTTGGAATTTTTTCTCATGTCTTGAGATAGGCCTATATTGCTATGAATTTCCCACTTAGAACTGGTTTGGCTGTGTCTCAGATTTGGGGTCTTTGTGTTTTCATTTGTTTCAAGATATCTTTTGATTTTCTCTCTGATTTCTTTGTTAACCCATTGATTGTTTAGTAGTGTCATTTAGCCTCTATGTGTTTGTGTTCTTTCCAGTTTTCTCCTTATAATTGTTTTCTAGTTTCATACCATTGTCGAAGAAGATGCTTAATATGATTTCAATCTTTTAAAATTTATTGATATTTGCTTTGTGGCCTGACATGTAGTCTATCCTGAAAAATGTTCCGTGTGTGCTTGAAAATAATGTATATTCTGCTTTGGGGTGAAATGCTTTAAAACACCGATTAAATCTATCTGGTCTAATGTATCATTTAAGGCCATTGTTTCCTTATTAGTGTTCTGTCTGGATGATATATTCATTAATGTAAGTAGGGTTTTAAAGTCCCCTACTATGATTATAGTACTGTGACCTCTCCCTTTATGTCCGTTAATATGTGCTTTATGCAGGTAGGGGCTCCTATACATTGAGTGCATCTGTACATTGGGTGTATAGATGTTTACTAGAGTTATATTCTCTTATTAGATTGGTCCCTTTATCGTTACATAGTGCCCTTCTTTGTCTCTTGTTACAGCCTTTATTTTGTTTATTTTGTGTGTGTGTGTTTTATTTTTTGTTTACACTCATTTACTGCAAGCAACTATATTGCAAACTCATATACTATCTGATTTTGTCTTGCTCCTTAGGATTCATGGCCGTGCCATCTTTTTCAGCCTTTGTCTTAAAGTCTATTTTGTCTGATATATTGCTACCCCAGCTTTTTTTTATTTCTGTTTGCATGAAAAATTGTTTTCAATCCTTTCAGTCTCTGTATCTTTCTGAAATAAGTCTCTTCTAGGCAGCATGTGTATGGGTCTTGTTTTTTTATCCATTAGGCCACTTTCTGTCTTTTGGAGTATTCAGTACATTTACAATTAAAGTAATTATAAATGCTTATTTATTGTCATTTTATTATTTTCTGGTTGTTTTGTGGGTCTCTATTTCTTGCTGTCTTCTCTTGTACATTGACTTTCTATAGTGATATGTTTAGATTCTTTTCTCTTTATTTTTTTGTATATCATAGGTTTTTGGTTTGTTATTACCATGTGATTCAGATATATCAACCTATGTTTATAGCAGTCTGTTTGAAATTGATGGTTGCTTAAGTTCAAATATATTCTAAAAGCATTACTTTTTTTTTCAGTTTTTATATTTTATTTTCACATCGAAAACCAGTCAGATTTGCTTTGGCCTCAAAGAGCATGTTTATGTAAAATTAAATTAACACTGGCAGTGAGCTGCATTTTTTTTTTTTTTTATGGTGACATTGGTTAACAAAATCCAGTAAGTTTCAGGTGTACAATTCAACAATAAGGCATATACATTGCATTGTGTGTTCACTGCCTATAGTGCATTACATTTTTTACTTACCTTCCCCACGTTTGTTTTTGTCATATTTTGTATCATGTATGTGT